ATGATCTATCTTAAATTTTCTTTCTTGAGTTTGGGACTATGTGTTATAACTTAGAATGCAAAGGAGAGCAAGCACAAGCTTTACTATTAAAAAATGCGCGCGAAAAATTTTTGTTTTTTTAATTCTAATTTCGTCGGAATTGATCAAAACTCCCTAAAATGTACAATTTTTAGAGGAAAGTTTTCAGGCACTTTCCCGGGTGAAAAGGGCATTCAATGGGGAAAGATTTTCCACAGATGGATATTTTCCCCTTGTCCCCCGGTGCTTACGCCACTGCGGAAAATATCTGGCGGCTTAGATCAAATGCGCTATGGACACTTTTTGAAGTGAAGGGGTTGCAGGCCGGGGTATTGTGATATCTGTTTATTATATCTTCCTTTTTATTCCTGTCTTTATTTTTCTCTTCTCTTTTTCAACATTCCTCCCCCGGGAAAATTTTCATTCCTAGATGGCGGGAATTGAGCTTTTCCCGACATTTGAAGTGTGTTTTAATGAATTTTATGTTCTTCAAAATTCTAATTTTAGCAATAGCAACAAAAAAAAAAAAAAAAGAAAAAAAAAAATCAGCTCACGGGTCCTGAAAAGGTAGGTTTAGAATTCTTTTCTTTTTCGCCTTTTTTTTTGTTGCCCAAGGGAGGGGCCAGGACCCATGACCCCCTCCCCCAGATCCGCCAATGTGAATTGCGAGAAAATGTAACTCGGTCGGGTACTGGATAAACATTCTCTTTCCCATCCTTCTCCTTCCCTTCTTCTTTTTTTGCATTTCCGATCATACAAAAAAATCTCCAGACATTATATATTTTTCTCCAAAAAGTGGGGGGGGCCCCCGGGCCCCCCGCTTCCGCCGGCCATGAACCTGGCCTGATGATGATAATGATTTACAAAACGCATTTATACAGTATCAGTAATAGATGATATTGATCATGGTCAAAAATAAGCCCAAAGGGAAACCAACTTAAAATTCTTTTTTTTTTCTTATACATTTCTAATCAAAAAATAGTCAAAAATAAATGTTTGAAAGTTAAAAAGATGCTGTTTTCAATTTTAAATTAATTGATCTGAACCTATAAGCATGACCTTTAGCCCCTGCTACCAACAAATATAATATACTATTAGATTTTTTGTATAGACCATTCATGCTTCATGCAAACTGTTGTAGATTTTGTTTGCTTCCTAGTTTTTAATCATATTTTAATTGTTCCACCAATACCTGTACCAAAACTTGATTTACTTTTCAAGGAAGGATTTTTACCCTATCTGAAATCATGCTGAAATTACAAAAAAAAAAAAGGGATGCTTTGAAAAATATCCTGTCCTTTGTTGCAGGGGCAGCGCCAGTCATTGCCCTACATGGGGTCCAATCTCCCCGACAAGGGGTCCACACCATACCCCCCCCCCCAGGTTAGGGAAAAAATTAAATTTGACAGTGAATTTTTCAATACAAAATAATAAAATTTTCTGTAAATTATGGGATTCTTTATCCTGTCGGAAGTACCAGCTCCCTGTCGGGAAAGAGCTGGCACCACCACTGCAACCATATGATCGCAATATTATTACCCCAATACGGTTGAAATTTTTTGACAGCTATGCATATTGTATTTTCGGCGCTCGAGATTTGATTTTCCCCTGACGAACTGCTTGAAAATTCCTCGACAGGGGGTCTAATAAGCGGAGGGTCCAGATTTTCCCGATGGGAATCCTCTTTGACCCCTGCTAGCGCCACCCCTGCTTTCTGTTGAGGTAGGTCTAACAGTATACAGCTACTGGCTTAATTATATATAATTGACTCGTAATATCATCCAAAAATGACAGCGTGGTCAGTGGAAATTAACTTGTATACTTGATCCATCAATAATTAGCATATTTCATAAGGTGATTTCATAAAAGCACTTGAGTGGTCCCATACAATAAACAAAGAAGGAAGGGTGGTGGTGTCACAAAATGATACCATAATAAATAGTATTGTTAGTTAGCGGGGAGTAGGCCCACCACGCCTAAACGGCACCTACCTGTCTTACTTATCTGAAATTCAAATCCAGTTTTAAGGAGCTTTTCATTTATAACATCGCTCTTTACTTGAAAACATCGAATCGGCCGATACCGTTTCCTCCGTAACTGTAATCGTTGTGTTGGTTCTGAGCGAGTGACAGCTGCTCATAATTATATTAGTCTCATTTCCTCCAGTCGATATGTAGGTAAATATATTTTTTGGGTATAGAATTACTGTCTGGGATCTGTACAACAAAGACTAGTCAAAACAATCTTACCTGCGCGAGCGGAAACTAGACCACTTTTGCGGATAGCACCTGGCCGATTTCAACCGAAGTCGTCGAACCAGTTGTCGAACGAATCTCATTACAATAAAATCCCCATGTCCCGTTTTACCAACCAAAAAGTCATTTATTATTGGCAAGGGTGCACATCTCAAGCCCACCATGGATGTAGCCAGTGCTGAGGTCCGAAAATTTGAAGAAACAATGCATCTATGGCCGGAAATTTCACTTTTGTTTTATATTATAAAAATCATCATTACAACACCAGTAGGCCACCGTCCAAATAAAACTCAAGATTCCTCATTATCTCAGTTTTATCAGAAACTTTTAATAACGCTTGTTTCATTGCATTAAATCATATTTAAAAAATTGTACAAGTCTGTTAAGTTAATGATTTTAATTTAATGGTATAGAATTGCAGGTCTGGGTCATATAGGCCTACAGTTCATTTCGACAAAGGCCGGACATAAATGACATTGCGGTTTAAAAAAACTTGATTTGCATTGAAATTTTAAAAAAATAGTGGCGAAAAGGGGGTGGGGGTGGGGGCACGTTGGATCCGCCCCTGATATTTATCAGCATAAAAAACCTTTTTAAAAAATTCACTGAAGGGCCAACTATTTGAATCATATCTACAATTAAAAATTTGAATGTAAAAAAATCCCGTCAACGGGCATTGAGATAATCTTTTGCTGTATTCTTTTGCATAGACCCTTAATTTACTATAACAATTTAAGGGTATTTGTTGAAAATAGCCAATCAGCAACAAAAAAAATAATAATTTTCTTGTCTCTCTGCATTTGAAGATTTCTTATATTGATCCTTAAAAATAAATTCACATTTTTAATTTAATTTTTCAGTTATTTTACTTTTTTTGCAGACAATGCATCTTTATAATTCACACTAGAAGCGAATAAAAAGACAACTTAAAAACGGCCATTAGTTTTCCAATCCGAAATTTTTGTTGGCATCCGGACTGTTTCGGCTGTAAATTCGTCCAAGTTTTAGTTCGCACAAGTAATACATTCACTCGGCGCTCGAAGTTCTGCATCCGCTCGACTATCGAATTAGTTAGCGGCATGACAATTAGGGCCTAGCCTAGTTGCCCTAAATATCATTTTTAATGTTTCATAAATTGTGAATTAGGTTACCTATCACTCAATAAGTATGATATGTCTTTTTTTGTCCATTGGTGCTGGACTGTGTGCAGCTTTAGGCTCAGTTTGTGCGAAATTGGCCTTAAATTCAGACATCCTAATACAAATGTGTACAACGGGGGCGACAACAGTTTTCGCTGCCTTGCCTGCCTTTGGAAGTTGGCTCAGCCTTCAAGATGGAAGCCTAGGCCTACGCAGCAAAGCAACTTGTGAGACGGTGCGATAGGTTGTACATATTTATGATCTTCACATTACAGTAATAATTTTGGCAGCTTTGTATCAAATGTCTAGACTGAGCTATGTGTGTAATTTGGATTTTAATGATTTTATTTATAAATAAAGAAGGGTGTGCTATTCTTACACCAGTCTTAAACCAATATAATCCTTCTGATTGGTTGGATGTTATTGTACAAATCGAATCCTTGCGTACAATAACATGCACTCAAAATTAGGAATTTATTTAAGACTGGTGTAACCATAGCCACTGGCTAGGCAAATAAACCAGAAAAGGCCCAGGGCAGGGAGAAAAGCCCTGTTGACCTCAGGTGGAAATGATTTTTTTTTTGCCATATGTTATGTAGAAAGTATTTTATACACGATTTTTTGGCCTGACTAGTCGTGGCCGATGGGGTCTTGGCTAGTGGGGGGAAATGAATAGGCCAGGAGGTTCCTATCTCAGTGGCAATGTACATACATACAAGCATTTTTTTTTTAAATAACGTTTTGGTAACAGCTTAAAAATTCCCTCAAAATGGCCAAGCTTCTCTAGGAGTCATCAGCTTTACCACCTCATATTGTTGGCCTCAACTGTTAATATTTTTTCATTCTTTATTTTCTAGATTTCTATATATTTGCAAGTTATGTCATTTGCTGGAATCTTCATCTTCAATGCATTCATGTGGACATTGTTTGTTAAATCTCTGCAACTTTCCAAAGCATCAGTCCAAGCAACTGTAACGAATAGTGCTTCTAATTTTTTCTTCTCTGTAAGTAAGTTCAGTTGTTTCTCTTCTGTCGTACCTAAGTGGTCGTCTAAATTTATAGATTTTGAAATCTTTATTTTGTTTCTTTTATTGGCTTGTCTGAATTTAATTTGAATCTTCAATGGTTGGAAAACCTGGTTTATTAGACCCTCTATCAGGACCATAGCCCTACTATGTGACCCCCTGCTGTTCTATTTGGGCAAAACATTAATTGATGGCAAGAGCAGACTTTCTCTTATATCGCTTTGAAACTTGCTAACAGACTCGTGACAGCAGAGATGATGCTAGCAAAGGATGGGGGTGTGAGGAGATTAAAACCAGACTAGAGGTTTAGGAACCTGTCTCAAAATGATCTATAGAATTGCATAAATGAATATTTATTTTAAAATAAAATGTAACATGCAAAAAATATATATCATATCATATAATGTTTCTGTTAATAATTCTGTGAAATTATATTAAATAAATGGTATAGAACTTGAGAGTGTTAGTAAGTAAGTGTGAGAGTGTTATCAACAACACTGGGCACTCCCCATCTTGGTAGGTCTGAGCATTTTCAGGGAGTGTTTGTGTTTGTTACAATACCTGGTATGGTATGTAAACAAAAATATTTTTTAAGAAGCCACATAAAATTTGAGTCTCATATACATTATGTTTAATTTGAGCACCCGATGTACACAATCATTTCATTACTTAAACAAACAAAAAATGAATAGTCATGCTGAATTTTTAGTAATACGTCAGTGAATTAAGTATTCACGTAAATACTGTCTAATGAATCAAGTTACTGCATGACCGTTTTTATATTTTTAATAAAACAAATTTCTTCTACTTTTAAATACATTTTCCCCTGAATTTGTGATAATTCGTTATCACGCATAGGCCTGTGCTAAATGCATGACAAATTTATGATCACGCAAAATGCGTGTTTCAACTAAAATCACTATAAAATGCGGGACCATCCTGCACAATGCGAGACGGTTGGTAACTATGCTTTTTGGGATCTGATTTAAAGAGCTTTCCTATGCACAATAAATGTGGCAAAGACAAGCCAAACCAGTCACTCGTCGCAAATCCTGTTTTGGAGATAATGGCCCAAACATGCTGGAATGTCAAAATTTTGGAAATCTATTTTATTGCACTAACCTAACCTTTATATATCTATACATCATGCTATGCTGTTATTTTCCTCATTTTCAATGATAAAACAACAATTTTTTATGATTTGGTGATGGTTTCTGCCTTAGAGAAATGCCTAAAATCGTAAACTTTGAAGGCTGATTTCTCAAATATTGTTCTTTAAACAGCTGTATGTTTAAACTCGTGTAACTTCATAATGAAGTGTCGGATTTAAATGATTTTTTTACCATTTTATAGCTCTCATTGTACTGTTAAACCCTCTATAAACTAAAATTTGATTTTTCCGACGAGTGACTGGTTTGGCTTGTCTTTGCCACAAATTGTATTGTGCTGCTCGTTATAATAACACCCATGGCTAGCTGACGGAGGGACAAAGTAGATTAACATGCAAATAATGAGATATTTTCTTTCTTGCGGGAGTGTTGGAGAACGTACCAATTTCTTGGAGAATCTCATGACTTCTGAAAGATTTAGAACCCTGTTAGTTGGATGTATATGATTGAGCTATGTGAATTAATTACGGTATACAACATTGAAGATTTTATTTGTATTTTAGGCGTTGATTGGTCATTTAGTATTTGGCGAGGCCCTCAGTATACGATGGTGGATAGGCTCCATGATGATAGTTTCTGGTCTCATCCTAATGCAGAGAGCCTCTGCAAAAACAGTATCCCAGAAGCAGGAGCATGTTGCAGGAGTAGAAAGGAAAGACAAATGAAGTAAGTATTTAGTAACACAGTAGATAAAAATATTTTTCTATGGGTTTCAACTTCAAGGTTAAAGTGGTTGATGTGCACTACCTTTTTAAGGGTCATTCCATGTCAAATCACGAAAATGGGTTTAACCCGACTGACATCATGACAATAGGCACCTATATTGACAACATATGGGCATCCAACAGTTTTTTGTCAGAGAAAATTTGATAATCTTGACAGAGCTTTCTCTGATGTGTCTATATATAGTCGTGGTGTGATTGGATTTATTGGATTGGATTTATTCGGTGTACACACCAAGGATAGCAAACGAAAGTCTAGAAGAATACTTATTTCCAGTGGGGTCCTTCTGGTGGTGATTGGGCAGTACACCGGGAGACAATCTCCTACTCTTTTCCGAAGAGTGTACTGCGTTCTTTATCGTGTACCTGGGCCATAAATGCACACGGGACCAATGGCTTAAACGTCTCATCCGAAAAAGACGTGCGCAATTGTAACGTATATTTCAGCCCTCTAGCTGAAACACAAGGAGAGGCAGCGATGGGAATTGAACTGGGGACCTAGAGATCTCCACAGTTCAGTGCACACACTGTGGCTACCACCAGATCAGCTGACTGAGCTAAGCTGCTCTCTCTAATGATGTCATCATGACCATATTTAGGCTTGTCACATGGTTTTTCCAATACAATTTGATAGAGTGGACAGGGCTTCAGGGATGTTTTGGGTCAAAGTTATTCCAAACCCAATTAAAGCTTAGAATGTAATCTGTTCAAACACACAGTTTTCCATTTCCCGTCCAAGTGACTTAATTTGTAGCGAGACCTCTCTCACTGTCATTTCTAAAGTGAGATTTTTTAGTGTGTAGGGAGCACCTCTTCTTTTTCACATTACCTATAATTCAGTGTACACAAACTACATTTTAATTTTTAGATTAGTCCTACATATTATAGCCAAACATCGGCACTGGTTTGAGCGACAGGCTCTGGTGGTGGAACAAGTCGTATAAGGACTATAAACGGTATGCATATTGTACACTTTGCCAGGACATTATTGAAGAAGAGCAGTAGGTTGCCCTGGTTACCCTGTTGTGCTGGTCCAGTACCTGATGCATTCAGTAATTTCAAGAAAGTGCCTACGTTCTGCACAAAACATAATGGGACTCTTAGGATAGAGACCCAGCTAATATGCTATATAAATTATTACCTTTTTACTGTAACTACTGAGCCGAGACTTTGTTCCGTCCTAGGATGTTAGCAAATCTTGCAATACAAATTTATGCACAATTTTCAACAAGTATAGTTGTCCTGGCGCCCTCAGCAACACCCAGTTCGACAAGTATTCTTATCCATGACAATCAATATGTTAAGATATTTTCCTAGACGAGAGTATCAGATACAGCATTTTCCTGACCTTATACTAAATGAAAGTGTGTATACGGATATTTCCAAAAACACAAATGACAATTGATCCAAGTTTTTCTTTTGCAACATTTAATATCACTGGGCAACATAGATAAACATTTAAAGCACATTAAGAGTTTCGAGAATTATACAGATAATAAAAAAATGTACAAATTAAATTCCAAAAATACACAATTAGAATATACATAAATATTAAACAAAATTGAAATAAATTATATAAACTATTACAGTATTATGAATTGTTTGATAAGCAACACTACTGATGACAATTTATTATGTTACAGTTAAACACTTACAATTTACAAAGTTTTAAAAGGTGATAACATATGAAATGGTTTTTTTTTTACAAAATGTTTTACTGTTAAATGTTTTCAATTCACAATGGTAGTTTTCAGCCTTTTCACCAGAGGGCGACATTTGTCTTTATTGCAGCAAGTTTGACACAGCCAGCTGTGTGGCGAAAAATCTGTTTCAACCTCTACATGTATAATAACTTACAAATCATCTCTAGACGAAGTTATTATTGCTCTCTCAAGTATAACACTACAGTTTCCCTCTAATTCAAGACCTCCTTTGGGACCTGAAAATTTGGTGTGGTCTCAGGGTTCAGCCTCCAATTAGAGGGTTAGCTTTGTTTCAAAAGATGAAGATTGTTATTTGGGTCTTTGGAAAAGTGATCTTGAATTAGAGGGGTCTCGGAATTAGAGGAGTCTCGATTTGGAGGCTGCACTGTATTTGCTGTTTTAAATTATATTTGATTATAAACATAAACTCGCACCACAAAAGGAACTGAACAGCCTTTCACTCATTTTTTTTAATTTTTAAAAATATTTAATAATTCTAATTGAACATTTGTTTTTTCGAATACATTTAAATATTATGTGGGTAACTTTAAAAGGTATTAATAGTTTAAATATATGCTTGTGCATTTAAAAAATATTCGTAAACGTGTGTGATAAATAATTAAGTGAAAATTGTTTTCCTTAATGACTTTTTTCATGGTTAAATTCAATCATTAAAGTAAAACTAAAACATTTTTCTTCCTATATTGACCATTTAGTCATTTTTGGAAGTTTTAATCTTGATTTTCATAGCTTTCTTTTGACCCTGAAACTATGATTCATTGCTCAAATGGAGAAACATATCCAGTGGAAAAATAGATAAGAAATGCTGAAATAAAAATATGATTCCCAATGTATTCTGGCATTCCATAAAATAAGGCTCATAGGAAAGAAGCTGTAACCTCCAGACGACCATGGTAATAGACTTGTGTGGCACGCACCTGTTTGCTTCCATTCCCAAAACCACAAACCCAGTCGTTAGATATCACATGACACTCAAAATATGTAAAATAGCCTCTTCCCCAAGTCTCCATGGCAAGAAAAATAGCCAGCCATGCAGATTTCTCTCTATCAGACTTGTGGCAAGACCTTTCTTAATACCTTGTTTTAGTGAACACTATTTTTGAAAGATTTTCAGAGGGCGAAACAATATAATTGTATTTTCATTTAGCAAAATTGTTCTGCTATAAAGGCATCCTATTTTGAAAATAAAATTAATATAAAATGTTATTGATCAATATGTGGATACAGTGTTTAGTCAAACTTAGTGATTTAGAGCATTGATTGATTTCTAACAAACATGGAAAGACAGAATTTGTTTTATCAGATATGTCGGCAGATATGTCAGACACAAAGTCTTTTTTAGTCTGAAAGATAACCATGTTTATATATTTATAAGCCCAGCCTTTGTTTGTACATAGTCATAGTGTCCAAACAAGTTTTCAAACTTCAAATAAGTTTATTAGATGTTCAATTGGAATGAAATGCTTTTTTACATTTAAATAGCAAATCATATTTTAGTGATTAAAGATTTTTTCTTGTTTCAGTTTTACTTTGGACTATATTAAATTTACTAAGTTTATTTTTTAAATAGTGTTTGTTTGAATATGAAAAAGTTAGCAAGAGGGAGAAACCCCATATGAACTCAACTGAAATGGAATTCATACGTTTTTACAAAAAAACATATTGTTGGAGCTCACTGAGGTTACAATGAAAGTTTGATGGAATATTGTAGTTAGTCTTTTCTGGTCGATTTCTTTCTAATTCGTTTAACTTTTTTGCATGTTCTACAGCTGTGTCCACAAAACCTGCTCATGAATGCAGGGTTTTTCTTGCACCAGTTTGTCTTGGCCCACACTTTGCACCGCTTGCTGTAATTTTTACACTCTGAAAACAAACAAGCATAGAAGTGATTATAGAAATGATGTTTAATTATATTGGCAATGAATCTCCTCTGCATGTCTCTGTATTTACTAGTGTTGGACCAAAGAATTCAATATAGAGAGGGACCAAGGGAGATGGAGTGTCCAGGTCACTTCAACACCACATTGTTGGAGCTGAAGTACATTTTATCGGTTTGACATGTCTAGGTTGCTGAAAATTTCAGATTTATAATTGAATTTCTTTTTCTTTTTTCCCAGTAAGACTTTAATATTTGGGGATGGGGACTAGACCTGGGTTGACTAGGCACTCCCTTGAATCTGCTCTTGATTTTCACAATCTTAATTTTATTTTTATGTAATTTCTGTTTGTTCATAGTAAGAACTGGCTATTATGTACCAACAGGGTTGAATTCTTTTATTGACAATCTTTCAGTATGTGATGGAAGTGAAGTGAAACAAAAATCCACTCACCATTATCTTTAGGATTTGAACACAGTTGACAACTTCTCGGACACTGATAGGGAATTTCTTTTATATCAATTGAACACCGCCCTTTCAGAGCCCAAAATTGGCATTCTTTTGCACCATCAACACACTCTGAAATTTTAACAAAATTATTATAGTAAACTACCGTAATATTAAGCAAGATAAAATGAAAAAATACATTAGAATTAAATTGATAGCAAATACTTGTGTTTTAATTTTAGTGTGTAAGTTTTTAAAACTGTCTACACTATTTAAATATTTTTTTGTTCTTTTTTTTCAGTGGTGATTATTTCCAGAGACATTTCTTGTACTGTCAGCAACAGATATAATGTGTTAGAGCGCCACCTAGTGTTTAAAACTGTGTTTTTATAATGTTGTTAAGTAGAATAGGATTGGTGTTATTGAGGATGATGAAATCAGGAAATAATTGATATGATATGCTGGTAGCAAAACAAATGTTATGGTTGTTGTCATGAGCCAGTATTCTTCCTGGTGCGTATTCAAATCTAAACATACTGATCTTGCCATTCCTGTTATTGTTATGTTGAGGGTGGGCATTAAAAAGGGTCGGAGAGCCAAAGTGAATTTTTGATTTAACACTGAGGGCCGCACCTAAACTTTGATTTTCCAGTGTGCTTCCAAAAACTTAAATGACTGCTTTTACATTACTTTATGCTCAGTTAACTTTAACAGATGATCGCTTTCAGGCCGTAAAAACACATGGGGTTTTCTAGCCAAAGGTTGGCGGGCTGCACACAGTGATTTTAAGATATGTGGCAAAGACAAGCCAAACCAGTCACTCATCGCAAATCGTGTTACAGAGAAAATGGCCAAAACATGCTGGAATGTCAAATTTTTAAAAATCCATTTTATTGCACTGAACTAAACTTGATATATCTATAGTGTACATCATTCTATGCTGTTATTTTCCCCATTTTCAATGTTAAAACAACAATTTTTAAGGATTAAGATAGTTTCTGCATGAGAAATGCCTGAAATCATAAACTTTGAAGGCTGATTTCTCAAATATTGTTCTTTAAACAGCTGTGTGATTAAACGCTTGTAACTTCATAAGGAAATGTCCGATTTGAATGATTTTTTTACCATTTTATAGCTATTATTTTACTCTCTAACACTGTATTAATAACTCAAAATTTTGCGACGTGTGACTGTTTTGGCTTGTCTTTGTCACATATTTTCATGGGCCGCGCACAGGGATAGTAAGTTATATTTACAGGCCGCAGCGAAAATACTGTCGACCCACAGGCCACACTTTGTCCACCTGTTGGCAATGCTGATGCTTATCAATCATACCGTACTGTTTTGAAATGCCTATTCAAAGTATATATGGTACACTTTAATTATGGTTTATGTATGAACTTTTGGTTGGTTGACTTTTGTAATATATTAAATTCAAATTTTTTATAATCCTAATTAAGAATCTGACACTGAATATTTTGAAATTCACAGGCTGCTGTATTGTATTATAGTAATATATATTTGATAAAAATGTGTAAATTTCTGGAAAATGTATTTTGGGTGTGTCTGTGGGTGTGATTAAGAAAGAAAGAGTTAACGTACCTATTTCTGTCTGGTTGAATTTAACTCTACATGTTTTGCAACTTAGCCTGCAATTTCTTCCCATCCAATCTGGCTGTGATAAGCATCCTCCATCCTTAGCCCAGCTCGGACAATTTGCAAAACTATCGTTACATTCTGCATGTTGAAAACACAACATATTAAATATATATACAGGTCATGTTGCCCAACTCTCCAAGCAATTTAAGATTGTTAAGACTTTTTATATTGTCAAATTAACTTGGTCTCAGAGCACTTATAAAACAAACTATGCACAGAATGAGTCACATTGAAAAACCTTTTTAGTTATTTCTCAGAGTAATATATTATAAAAACCGTTTTAAATTTTCAATTTTATTGTGACTCATAATTTACTTTTAACAACAAATTTAAACTTTAAGATGTTTCTTTAAAGCCAGGCTTCGGAGGGAACTGATTTTTCTAAGACACTAAAAGCATATTGACAAAAAAACTCACAAGGCAGTTAATGAGATACAGCTTTTTGAATAACTGGGGGGAAAGGGACATAACCACCCATTTTCCCCCTGTTTTTAAATATCAAAATATGTGTATCTCATTAACCGCTCACAACTTTTTCGTCAAATGTGCTTTTTGTGTCTTAGAAAAGCCAGTTTTCAACATAGCAAACATTTTCTTTTCACCAGAGCCTGACTTTAAAGTTGATTATTTTTATTATTAGAAATAAATAATGTATGATTTCACTATTTCCACTGTGTACATGGTAATCCGTTCTAATTTTACTCATTTTACAATTTACACTGTTAGCAGCTTTGAAAACTCCTCAATGAGTTTCTGATGGTTTGTCAAAATAATGAGTAATGCATAGATCATATAAAAAATATCTTATCTTGCAAATAAAGCCACAATTTCTTTTTCCTTTGCAATTTTTTTCAAGACTTGTCAGATAAAACTTCTTGAAATGCCTTACATCTGTTTGACTTTATATTTGATATATTATTTATGTACGGTATAACAAATTAAATCTTATACAAAATTGAGAATCAAGAATACGTATTTGATTTTGAAGTTTGATTTTCATCTTAAACACAGGTGTTTTTGTTTTGTTTTTTTTTTTTTGGTTAAGAAGGTATGCTGTTAATGGCCAAGAGGAAAACAAATCCTCGTTGTTTACAGGATTTGAAGCCAGGATCCTAGGACCCCTAACCAGAAAGCTAATTCTAAATCATGAATTAGCAGTGCTAAAGGGATCTGGCTGTACAGAACACCCTGTTGTCGAAGAACTGTAGACCCCAACATCCTCCCTTCCCTGTAAGGGAAAAAGCCAATCATTTTGTTGGGGGAATGCAGCATCGAGTATAGCATTTTTAGTCTGAAAGTGCCATTTCCATGCATCTAGCGGTGCCTATTCTGAATGTTTATGGACAACCCCGTCAGGAACCTTTGACCCGTCACCTGGCCTGGGAATTTCTGGCGCCACCATGGAATCCATGACCTATATTATAGTAATATTAGGTCATTATGATTAAATAGATATTTTCACAGGGCCTTATTCCTCTTATAAATTTTTTTTTTTTTTTTTTTTTTTTTTTTTAAACAAACAACAAACTAATTCTGTATAATCAAGCTTTGAAAGATACTGAAAGTAATTATTATTGAAAACAAAAGGTATTTTAAAAAGTAATATTAATAAGAAAAACAAATTTTAAAGAAAAAATTTCAAACAGTATTAGCATGCAAAACTCATAATACAGATTAGAATACTGTCGCAAAAAAAAAAAAAAATAATAAAATTGTATTTCATTTCAGTGCTAACACAACAAAAATATCTGAAACAGCAACTAAGGTGTAATAAAAACGTTTTTGTATGTTTCAAAAAATCGACATGCTTCAAATATGCAATTAATACTTCAATATATTTCGAATATAAAGTATATTAAACAAAATTGATGATAATGAGGCTGGTAATAGAAAGGGATTGATTTTTCTGTTGGTGATAGTGTTGGTGCTTAAGAAGGCTGTAAAATGATAATATGATGGTTATATTGACGATTACAATAATAATAATAATAATAATAGATTTTGCAATACTGTACGATGGTCGCATCGAGGAGACAGAAATGGAGAAAGTGATTTAAGTAAATTATGGAAAATTGAAACAGTGGTCATTCCTGTTATAATTGGGACATTTGGAACAGTTCCAAAGAAATTAAAGAAAAGACAACACATCAGTATAGAAACCAGAATAGATGAACTTCAGAAAAGTGTGATTCTGAATACGGCAAGGATCCTCAGGAAGGTAATAGAAGTTTGAGGAGACTTGTCACCAAGCTTTAGGAATAATGTAATTCCATTGGATATTGATGTGCGATACCAATAATAATAATAATAATAATAATTAACTGTAGTTAAATTAAAACAGTTCAATAACAATAAGCACTGTAATGATGATGAAAATAATGATAGTAATAACAATAATAATTATAGGCCTATAGTAATATATTATAAATAATAAATGCAAATAATCAATATGCAATCAGGAGTTTAAAGTGCAAAATAAATTATACTGCAAATAAAAACATTATTGTCATCTTTGTAATTATTTTCCCAAAATGCATTGCACTGACATGCTGATGTGGTCCATGCATCTCAACAATACCTTCCACATTTCTAGCCTTTCTGGATTTATTAGCTGAAATAGATTGTACTATGATCAACACTCTATGCTAGATTTTAAGGTTTTTTTTTACAGAATCCTGTGCAGTGCAAGTACTATAAAATAGTATGTGGTGGCATGCATTACTTAGCCACACAACCTGAATGAAAAATAGTATGAAAGATATGAATTTCAAATGACTTCCAACATCCTATACCAATTAACGATTTTATATAATACAAAAAAAAGCAGTCTTGGGTGTCTGTGGTTTAGCTAATGATTATCTGAAAAGTTCCTCAGACTTGAGGCCATGCATAAATAATATTTTGTTAACAGTATACCCCTTTTTAAGCGTTTTTAAATTTATATTTGCATTATTCTATACTACAAATTCATGATACATTTTTTTGGAAATATTTGGTACCTATTTCCTGTAAATCTACATTAACTAGTATTAAAGTTGTTTAAGTTAATTTATAACTTTTTATTATTTTAAAGATTTGATTCATTATTTGTTATAATTTTAATATTTTTAAAGTTTGGTTTTTAAACTTACTTGGTTTCGCCACCTTTTTATCAATTTGTGCACATGTGTTACATGTGAGTGCACAATTCTTATTCATCCACTTTTTGTTTGTTTCGCAATCGCCCCTGTCAGCTAGGTTTTTACAACGTCTGGTTTTGTCAATGCATCCTACAAATGTTAGTAAATACTGAGAACAATTATATGATCCTATCCTTGCCTTCTTAATTTTCTTAGCTTTAGATGTATTCATGATTAATAGCACTTCAATCATCATCAATGTAATGTATCGCTGCGGTAGTCATAATCTCTCTCCACGGCATCATCGTCGTTGTCATGATCGTCATCATCACAATCGTTCATCGTCATAATCTCCATCACTGTCATTGCCGTCGGCATTGTTCGTAGTTATCATCATCATCATCTTCATCATCATCATCTCCATCTCCATCATCACCATCTCCATCATCATCGTCGTCGTCATTATCGTTCATCATCATCCTCATCACCATCATCATCATCATCATTATCACATTATCGTCATCATTGTCACCGTCGGCATCGTCGACGTTGTCACCTGCATCATCATAATCTCCATTTTCATCATCATCATCATCATTATCATAATCATCATCATCATCGTTATCATCATCTCCATCTCCATTACCATCGTCATCATCATTATACAGTATTAGGTTTTCTCACCAGGATCATAACTGGTATCATTGCAGCTATTGCAGCTTAGTGGACAGTTAGGGAACATGAAATTAGGGTTGGTTTGGCAGTCACCATTCTCAGCCCACATCGGGCACTTCCTCTGGACATCACGGCAACCTTAAAAAAAGATACATAATTTTAAAAATTATGGTAAATTGTAGTAAACTATTTAATAACAAAAAAATAAAAAATAAAAATAAGAGAAATGAATGTATTATGTATTTTTATGTAATGACCACTTCAAGTACTGGAACTTAAACGATTGATTAAACAGGGTATACACACACAGCTGCATTTAATAATTTATCCTATTGATTGTATTCAGTGCTATGATCTATAATATAGATAAAATAGATGTATGACTACTACATTAAAACCATGCCAAGATTTGGTGAGTGGTGAGACATCATGTTCATTTTGTTTCTGTCAAGTTCAGGAAAGTAAATACTCGGAGGCCATTGGTTAAATCTTGAGTGTTAACATAACTAGGTCAGTATGTATGATGATTTGAACACGGGTAGGTTTTGGTTTGACGTCGGTGAGAATAACGTTTGTCTAGAGTAAAGTAGTACAATGATAATATTTATAGTGTGTACAGTATACTGTAATAAATAGATGTGTTATCATGTGATCATAGTATTTGCATAAAGCATACGTGTTTTACTAATACTAGTAAAATAGTAAAAAATCTAAATATCATTGGATATCAGTCAGTATTCAACTTGAATCAACCTATCTTTATCAATAAATCTAGGTTTAAGAGTGAAAAAAAAAAAGAAATTCAGTTTGAAAAGTTGATGGACAGGGTTGTTCCAGATTAATGGTGAACAGGGACTGCAGTGTGTCAATCAGGGCAAACTCTTTTGTAGGCTGGTCCAGGGAAAGAAACCCTTGGTGCACCGACAAATTTTAAACTGTTTGGAGTTGTTACATATACTTCTGGAATTACCATTTTAATCTGAAGTGATTCCTGCTGAAGTTGTTATTGTTGGAGATGTTGAAGAAATTTGTAGCTTTTTGTAGAAGAAGGGCTCTAAAGCTTACCGTACTGAAAGAAAGCAACACTGCAGGACTGGATTGTAAATACGAATATATTTACACTGAAGGACACTTCCAACTGATCCTAATTATACTTTGCAATGTTCACTCCCTCTTTCGTAGCGAGCATGCAGTGGAAGTGATTTAGAAATACATTCATTTGTGACAGGAACTTAAATCAAGAACCTGGTTTTCCAATGCATTCATTTTTACTACATAACACTCACCTGCTACAAGGGTGGATACAATCTCACAACTATTACAACTGAGAGGGCAGTTTGGCTTCATCCATTTAGGGTTCTTCTCGCAGTCGCCGTTCTTTGCCCAGCCAACACATTTCTTGGTTGTATCCTTACAGTCTGAAACATTAACAACATTTAGAATAAAAAGTTGGTTGAGCCAAGAAATGTAATTCTATCCTGTTTAGAGTTTATAAGTCTTAGGAATTGATTCAGAAAGTCTCAATTTTTATACTTGTAAACATGTTCCTTGCTGAGAAGCAACGTAACTATACACAAAAGAAAAACATACTCACCTTTGACGAATTAATTGAAAACTTTCACTGTTTTATTCAAATCAAAATTAACTTCACAAAAATATTTATTATAGTATTTCGGCCTAAGTAATACTATTTAACCGTTTTCAAAACTGAACACCAGTTTGGTGGATTTCTTCATTGTGAAATTCACCAACATTGACCCATGACATTCAGAAGTCCTTTTGGCGGAGAATTGGGCAGTACACAAGTTGACAGTTCTTGGCTCCTATAATAGAGTGCTTCTAATTTAATACGTTTAAAACTTTATTTCATTTAATATAATAGTAGAACAGAGTTGAACATTAAAGGAGTATACTTCGGTGAAGAAGCTAGAGCATTGACCCACAGTAAGAAAAATATTGCTGTACACAACAAAATGTCTCTGTTTTCTATTAGTCGCTTAAACTTAGGGTTTAATATATACTGTTTGCTTCCAAACGTGTTTTGTCATTTTACTATTTCTATTTTGAGTTTGAATTACCCATGTATTTTCTATGTATGATCCGTCAAAATGGTAGACATGAAATTAAAATCAATATCCTAACAGACAGAAAACGTACTGGATTGACCCTTTAGCCTAGTGTTCATTATAACATGTAAACGCAGTAGAATATAAATAATAAAACACACGCAAAAAAATGCTCTCTTACTTAATACTGAATTTAACATCTGTCAGAAATGATAGATATAGTTCTTATTTTAAAGGTCTTGTATGCTTCGTTATGTCAAAAAGATATTTTCCCTTGAGTATGTGTAAATGAAATTGTATAAGAGAAGATTAAATATCATTTTTGAATAAAATGACTGAAATGTAATATGAATAAATCTTGTATAAAGATTTAATACACTTAGTGTACTGTGAATACAGAAGGGTATTGACGCTATTATGATTGACAGTGTATTTACCAGGTGCTTGTGGCGTGGGTGATGTCTGAGGTGGTTTCACATCGTAGTTGTCGGTAACGCATTGCTTGCAGCTTAGTTTGCATTTACGAATCATCCAGTCCGTGTTGGTTCTACACTCGCCCTTCAACGCCCATTCTGGACACCGACTATCTCCATCACTACACCCTGTTTTAAACAAATTGGTAAATCACATTCATGTATATCAATTTATATAATTTGTTCATTGTTAAAGCATTTGAAATACAAGAGAAACATTATTTTTAACTAATAATAAACTAAAACTGCTCTAGATTTCAACTGTTCTAAAAATACGTATGTAGTTAGACTTCACTAGGTAAAAACAAAGCAGTAATATTTTCAGCACTAAAAAGTGTAAAAAAAAACTATGAAGCACAAACATTCAATTTAATTCAGTTTAGTGTAGACACTGTGTTGTAAGTACTAAATGTATTGCAAGGATATATTAAATTATTTGCTTTATTATGGGCAGACATCCAATTTTCAGTATATCTGTACTTGACAATTTTCCATATTAAGCTTACTACTGTACTTTTCGAATACTGGAAATTATTATTGATGTTTTATTATCTTTCATAGTTCAATTGATGGAAAAAAGGAAAGAATATGGATTTTAATGTTTTGTTCTGATTAAAAACTGCCTCTGTTATGTATATAATTACTCAGCTTAAGTCAATTAATCCACAATATTAATGCATTAGATGTTGACTTTGTTAGGTTTTGTAGATACGTTTTAAGTTGACTTATGTATTCCAATATGAAACATCTGTTATTTCTCTTTCGGAGTTAAATAAAATTGTTTTAATTACGGTATTTCAATAAATTGGTTTCAGCACGATTTGTGTTAACCATCTCATAACATGATACAACTTCATATTGCGTAGAATGGGAATAAGAATTGAATTCAAACACATTTCTTGTTATACTACAAATATTACAACAATGATGGGGTTTTAGTGCTTTTAACATTCTTAAGAAAATACCGACAATGCTATTAGCTCACAACGTGCAACCGCCACAACTGAAATAAACTGAAAAGCATTATCATAAATAACAGGTGTGAAGTAGATACATTCTTAAGCTAATTAGCATAAACAATTTAATATTAGGTTTTCGATTATTTTGCAGTAAGTATACCGTTAATATCATAATTATAATGTATAAATCAAAGGCTCACCAAAACCAAACAAGCAATGTATTTTTTTTAAAACTTAGATATTAAAGCAAAGCATAAACATTGACCTACTAATGTTAGTTCCCGCCACCACACAAGCATTGCAGCTGACGGGGCAATGCATGCGCATCCATCCCATAGTACTCTCGCAGTAACCACTCTCTGCCCATTGTCTGCAGTATTGATGACGATCGTTGCACTCTATGGAGGGAATTTTCTTATTTAATTTAATTAATTAAATTAAATAATTATTTAATATATATTTTATATATATTATTATTATTATTAATATTATTTTATATTTTTATATATATTTTATTATTTAATTATTTTTTTATTTAATTTTTTTATTTAGGAAAATTTGGTATACAAATGACTACCGTTAACTATTAACTTAATATAGACATACAACGAAGAAAAAATAAATAAAATGCAAACAAGACAGTAGGGTTTAACTATGTAATTCATGGTGTTAGGTAAATCATGGAGGTATAAATTATATTGATAGTACATGGATAAATTATTCAATAGCTCTTAGAAGTTGTCTTAAATTTTAACCCAATATCTTCATTCTATCTTGCTGAAATAAAACATCCAGAGCTCTTTATCCTCTGATTGACTGAGGCAACCGCTTAATATGAAGCTATTTTTGTTTGTGATGAAGGAAGACCTGATTCAAACACACAAACACACCTTAGAAATGAAAAAAAAAATTGCCAAGCACAGTATTGCTGTAGCAGAATTGACACGGCATCATGAATAAAACCATTTTAATTCAAAATGATACATGTGCCAAGTTTTATAATAATTATCAGAATTAATAAAATCATAAAAAAGTGCTAAGTATTAAATATTTAATACGTATTTTTTTAGAGACTTATTTAAAATATATCTTCTGCAATAATATAGATAAATGTTTGCACAAAATATACAGCTCTCATATAATATTCACAGAATTGTTTGTCATAACACAGACGTGTGAATATAAGAAAACATAAATTAAAACATAATATATTTTCTTGATAAATCAATTTCTGTTAAATTTCGAAAACATAATCCAGAGTCCCCAAAATATACATCTAGTAACCTCAGCCATTGAGTGTTCCTGAAAACCTGTCTTTAGTGACTTCTGATTGAATAAACTGACCCATTGACTGTCATCGCTCCCACGGAGACGCACCAAACAGGAAACATAGAGAGAATGCTATTTTAAGATTAGCAATGGTGCTCCTATATCTAAATCTAATAATAGGTAGCTTCCTTGTAATTTACAGTACATTACTGGGTATGAAAAAAAATGTGCAAAGATAACAGAAACCACATGTTCAGTTTATCTCTACTTCATAACATCGACCCTGTCACTACCTCATGGATAGATTCATAAGTAGGGGTTATAAAACCTTTAGAGATTTCATGGTTTTTAAATGCAATTTAAGATTGCTTTCACACATTCCCTTTGCAATGAGTCAACAAGTTATTTGAGTTTGGCTGTTAATGTAGATAAATTTTGATAAATATGAAAAAGGAAAGGATATGGAAGGAGAATACATCTTTTGGGGTGTTCAAGCACCTATCACTTGGTGCCAATGCAAAACAGTCGGGAGAATGGAACTAATCCATATGTTTGAATCTGAGTCTAATGTTAATCTGCACCTCAACACAATTTCATTTTTAAATTTGCTGTAATGCAATATCCATAACACAATTTAGCAATAATTAGATTACTTCATTAAAATACGTGTTTGCATGATACCTCCACGCACATGTTGACACATACCATTATTGTATAACACTCATGTTGGTCTATATATGCTATTAGAATTCCATGGATATTTTTATAGTCACATACCCCCATCCCCACCTTCAGATACTTAAAGTTATGATCATGCTCCCTGTATTCTTCAATTGTACAGCACATTTTCCTTTCCTCCTCATTTTCCCTCCTTATTTATAAGTATGCAAATCTATATATACGGGCTAAATGACTGATTAAATTTCACATCAAAGACGGTTTGTTATAATCTACCGTTAATTCTTTGAAAATACATTCCATTCCCCAATAATAAAACATGCAGAATTAAATGGAGCATAACATTTTAAATAATGCAAGCTCTGTCATAATATTATCAGCTTGAAGGCTTGCTGTTAAGGAAACAGAATAAACGTGAACATTCTTTAAGCCTGAGCCTCAGGGCCTTGGGAGGTGACCTACTGTAAGTCACTTGCAAATAGGGCCCCAAAAGCCAAAAGTAACAAACAAATTAATTATATAATATAGACATCTTAAGAGGGGCATGTTATATGTTTCCCCTTAACTATACATAAACAACCCTGTCAACGCTTACCAAATATATTTTACTTTGTTAATTCTTTTAGTAACATAATAATTAGGCCTATAGTTAAGACCTTGGATGCTGTAATACTTTTCTTGCACCCTTAATGTATCTTTAAATAGCTTAAAAGCGTATCATTTTAGTCACCAGATGTAGATACATTTTTTGATACATTTTATTTTATAATTTTTAATCGAATTTTTATTGTAAATATTTTTGGTGTTTTTTGGTGTTATGTTGGGACTTCTGGCTCACTGAGTCATATATGCAATTGCCTCTTTAATAGTCCCATGGCCTTTGTGTCAAATAAATGAATGAAATGAAATGAAGATAATAATACAAAAAAAAAACAAAAAAGAAAACCGCCATGTCTCGGTGAGACAGATTGTAGCCTCACAACACTAGATGTAATGCTGTAATTTGATTGTTTGACTAACCTAATGGGAAAGCATCTTCTTTGCATACCAGGCAACTTGCAGCACATGTCTTCTTCATATACTCTTTGTTTATGACACAATTACCATCCTTGGCCCATTCCGGACATCGACTGTGAGCGTCTTCACAAGCTGTCGAAAAAAAAATATAAAGAATTACAATATATTACGCTTGATATAATAATAAATCTTTATGTCGTCAATATCAGTATAAGATTATTCACCTGTCAGTTACAGGATGGAAATGATACATATACAGATAAACTTTATTTCATCGTTTTCGGAAATTAATATGGTCGACAAGATGTTTCTTGTTCTTAAAGACATGATACAACTATTTTTTATATTTAATTATATTAAATTTTAATTTTAATAATTCTATAATTCTATAATGTGAGTGCCTGTCTGGAGATTTTCGTTAAAGTCCTGGAAATAAAAGAATCTCGATAGCGGTTAGTGTGAGCCCTTGCCGACTGCATTCTACCGCTCCGTTCAGTAAAACTAGCGACAATTACAGAGTGGAGAAGATAAGAAGGATCTTTTAAAATCCTGTCAAACTTTAATGCCACCCTGTCACTGTAGTCAGAGCCCACCGACGGCACACACTGGCCCAATATTCGTTCCGATTGTTAACGATGCGGTTAAGCCTGTCTATATCTCCCCGTAATATTTCCTATTTCCCAGCACACTAGACAATAGCTCAAGGCCCAAAAATTATAGAATTATAGAAAGTGACTAATATATCTTTAACAGAATGTTAACATTTTCAATAAGTATAAAATGATGAATATTATTGAAAATGATAAAGTGACTTCAAATATATTTTGATAGCCGACTTTTTCATGTTTTAAAATACCCATAATTAATATGGTAGTTAAGATTAATAAACCTATACAACTTTTGTTTAAAGTTTATTTCCATGATTTCATTGCTTATTTCTGAAAAGCTGTCTTCCTATTGATAGCACAACTTTATATGATTAAGTTTATTTCGATGAAGTTTCATTTTAGGAAAAAATTAAAATAAGCCTCATTGAACCATAAGTGTTACAGCTTCCATGTTCTGTAGATTCCATAAATAAAATGGAATCAAAATTACTGCCATGTGGAAGTGAAAGAGATAACATAACTCTTAAATCATTATCTCTTCTTTGACGTCAGACAAAACTCTTTCAAGAGAGCCCTTTGCTATAATAATATTAAATACTTTTCATACTGTTAACTATATGGTTCACCGGTAAGTCTGACGATAGTGTGAGAAGAACTCCGATAAAAGTGATACAACAACCCATCGTGATACAATATCTCGCACTTTATTTGTTCGAAGATTTTGGAAATATTGATTTACGAGGACTTGTATCATTCCTTTCGGAGTTTTTTTTTTCATACTGTCTTATTTCATACCGTTATGGGACAATTTAAATATCATGTCAATAAAATAATAGATGTAATTAATAATATGAACTTGCTAATGTTTTGTTAACACCATTTTCTGCCATAACCTAACCACTGCACTTTCACAGTGTTTCATCGTATTTGGAATTGTTGACTTATGTAAATCCTACCAACTGTTGGATCAGGTTTTCCACAGGTGTCGCAGCTAACAGGACAGTTGTTGTGCATCCAGCCTTGATTGTCTTTGCATTCACCTTGTTTAGCCCAAGTTGCACATTTCTTGTTTTTGTCTTTACAGCCTGTCAAAAACATTCAATATGTTGTAAGAAGAGCAAGAATATTCCATAACTGGATAGTTAAGGATCCTCAAATGCATATGAAATACTGTATTTGGAAAAATTAAATAATCATGAATTAATAGTTATCAGATTGATTGTCATTTAGTATACTTGACGTAAGACAAACAAAATGAAGAGATGATTATATCCGACTTGAATATATATGGAATTGTGTTTTTGGGTGATCCAATTATGAAATAGTAAACCTTTCTGCATAATTTCATCAAGCTTTCGCTAATTAACAAAACATCTTTTATATATGGTTTCATGAAACACTAGACAATTTCATGAAATGTCAGTACTATTTTGTAAACTGTATTTGGATCATCCAAAAGAAAACTACCCAGATATCAGCGTTCAAGTTAAATTTATTTAGGAATATTTGATTTTGAATTAAAAATACAGTAGATGCTCTGAGTGTGATCTAATCATCTAGGCTAACACTCACCTGAAAAAATCGATATACCATATATGTTTAATATATCGTAGCAAACAATATTGAAATGTATTTTTGTCTGACAGAAAATATATTGCCTTATTTCGATAAACATTTGAGAAATAAAAGTGTTTTTTGTGACATAGTGCAAAGAATGAGAAAAAAACAAGAAATGAAGTGAATCATTGTAATGTTTATCAACATTAAGTATTGTACATATTTAGAATTATCAACATGATGCAGTGTCAACATAATAATTTCCTGTTGAACTTGAACAATCAAAACTTTCACTAATTAGGCATAGTTGCTCATTCACCGCCAGAATGGAATCACCTCAAACGTATACATTCGTGATAACTGTGACTGAGTTTGCTACGGGTAACGTTAGTTTACACAAACATCTCTTCTCCTTATTTCGACCTTACATAGATTCATATAATTTTCCACATTCAAACAAAAACATATACAATCAATCATAACTTTATTTGAATGAGCATGCACTTGTTTGATAAAATGAACGAAAGTATTAATGCAAAATTATAAGTAATGATAAACATATGCAACATGACAAGCCATATAAAAAGCAACACTTCCACGTTTCCAATTGTCTATAATGCTCTAAGAGAAAAAGAGAAAATGATAAACATAAATGAACGTAAACATTATATTAATTTTAGATGAATGATTAAGATGTAATCAAAGCAAACGCAGCAAATTTCTATTGACATTAATGCACCATTACATTTTGTATGATCCATTAATCTGACGTCACTCACTATCACATTCTGGAAAAATGCAACCTTGGAAAGTAAGTAATTTTAGTAAACTAAAAAGAAATAAATCAGATGACGAAACTTCAGTCGATGAATTACTTTTCATTTCAGGGTAACGATCGTGTGTGAAATGTTAGCCTTTTGAATAGACTCCTATTACATTCAAACAAGGTAGTCTTTAGTTTTGATTTATACTTTTGTTGAGAGTTACTTCTAAATCAAAGGTAACAAATCACGCCAAGTCGTAATTCTTCTAAAATCCTGTACACTTTTTGGTTGCTAATTGCCATTATTCTCACTAAATTATCGAATTGTATTACATTGGTTACCGTACTATATCAAGTAACGTTTGTCTATAAACTTTGTTTAGGGCCACTAAACACTATTCTTGTATATGTATAGAAAGTCAATATAAAAATATTCAAGCGGTGTTTTAAATACATTGGTACTGACATTCCCAACACAAATCGCTGTCATGGAAAGGAAGACTACATGAAAACATGTGAACTTAATGTGTTATTAACAAATGCCTACATAATTTATATAATAATTAGGGATTTATTTTAGGATATTGTTGAACGTACGCTCTAAGCCTAGACAATACGCTTACGTTTGCCAAATTATTACCTTATGCAAATCCCATAAGATGTTACTTTGTGAAACAATCAATACTTTTGGCCTTGGGGAGAGGTGTATCAGGGCCCTGAACTAATTTGTTATCGTATTTATACAAAATGATGTCTGAAGTAAATTGTTGAATCATCATTCCTGAACATGTTAAAACTTCGCTACACTTACAAGTTAAAATTATATTAATTAAATATTCATTGTTCAATAAATGAAAATGAATGAAATGGATCATATATATTAATAATGATAAAGAATCAGTGACAGATCAAATGGTTCAAGCAACCATGCAAAGTTTGAATGAAATGCGACAAGTTTCCAGGCATCGAAGTGATTTCGCAAGCCGTTGATGCAAAAGGATTTAGTACGAAGTTCGGTTATTTCCTCGAGCGTGTTTTATTTACTTTAACAGCTTTTGTACTGATACCTTTTGCATTGATGACTTGTGTTTTGGCTGCAGTTTGATCGTCCTTGTGGTATTTGGACAGTAGGTTTCCAATCTCATTTTTTGACTTCTTTTTATTATCACTAGGCAGTGCAAAAGGGTTCTTGTTTTTGTCTACTGTACACTGCTTACAACTCAGTTTACAATACCCGTATATCCATCTATTTATACTGCATTCACCACTTTTTGCCCATCGTTGACAATTTGGATGATAATCCCTACATTCTGAAGACAAAGTCTTCGTTATATCGTGACGTCATCATTTTAGATATTTTAACTACGATACATAAATATATGTTATTCTGTGTGAATAGGAAACAACTGATACTAACAAATAATTATAGATACTGTACTTATAAAAATAACATTATGACATGTTATATAGGTGCATATACTAACTATATTAATGAAGACATTTAAACATGTACAGTAGTCATCTTTAGACCGTGGAAAAAGTTTAGCTAGTATTAAAGTTATAAACGTAAGACATACCGGTAGCTAAGTTCTATCATTTTAAATTAGCATAGGTCTCTTCAAGAGATTATTTAAAACATGTACAGAAGCTTGCAACTGATATAATTGACGGTCAGTGTAGCTAAATACAACAGAATAAGAAACTCAGATTAATATATCTTAATATATCTTATATATCTATAAAATTACATGGATTTGCTATATTAGAAATTTCAGATACATCTACTTCCATTTTTGTTTTGTATATAGTACATAGGCTTAGCTGTTAATCTACCAAACATGGTCTCCGATAGAAAGGTCCAAATTAGGTTTATCCATGCCTATATCATTAGCAACAACAATATTTGGTATTGTTTGGCCAGCTGGGGCAGCTTACATTGAAGTTATGTTAATTATACCCCGCTTCCTAATACGGTATAACGCATTTTTTATTATGCATATTTATGATAAATTCAGTTTTCATTATTATTCAGTATAATTACTTGGATTTTTGGGTACGGTATACAGTAATTACCAAAATATTAGATCATTTTCTTGAATGATTAAAAACACAAACTTTTTAATATACATCAGCGGACAAACTTGTTGCCACAACCCCACAATTCTGAGAAACTCTAAGATATGAAATATTTAAAATGGCACAGAAATAATAAGCTTTTTTAATATATTACAAGAAATGTCTTTATAATTATAGAGCTGAAAATAACTACACGACATGTTCACCATAACTTACTGCTACATGTCTGCAATGCAATAATAAACATAATGGCATACACTGTCTAGAAGGTTCAATGTATTGATGATTCATTCGGTTGTAACACATGTTTTATGTTTTTTTTTCTTTCCTTGGCAAGTGTATATTTTAAATTGACATTGAAATCTTTAAACAACATTCATTGACCCTAACAAAGTACAGTAACTGTATACTTAAGAATTAAATTAATAAATTCATTCGTGGCCAACATTCCTAAACTAAACGGTAATCTGTTTTGAAGTGGGGTGTTCTAGCTTATACCTTAGCTAGCTAACCTTAGATGTCTAATTAAATGATCGGATTTTGGTATGCGTAAGGGTGAGACTCCACATTACGTCATTCTCCTTACCATTCATCGATAACGTTTGAAGATGCCTATTACACCTACGACAGCTCTTGCGACAGTTAACGTGCATGTAAGCAGGACTGCGCGAACACTCGCCCAAAACTGCCCAATCAGCACATAGCGTATTGTTGTCATGGCAATCTAAGCGTAGAATAATATGTTTTGGAATGCAAACAAAAATTACTGACATTAAAATGATTTGTGAATTTTAAACATGTACACAAAAGGCCAAAAATGCATGCATTTCAAAGATATTTCACAAGATTTTATGAATGAAATAAAGAACTTTGTCTGTTCGTTCGCCCAATAGCTAAATTTGTTATTGTAATCTGTCCAGTATTAGTTGATGAATTGGGTTATACAGTACTTAAAACTATAGAAAACCAAAGCTTTGTTTAGCAGTACTTCAAATATAATAATAATAATAATAATAATAATAATAATAATAATAATAATACAAATAATAATAATAATAATAATAATAACAATAATAATAATAATAATAATAATAATAACAACAATAAATACTGTAGACCAAGAGCATTATGCCTATAAATAAACTTATTCTATAGTGATAGGACTCTGAAATACTTAAATGCAAATAATTATGAGATATGATTGATGGCTCTGTTAATCCGTTACTGTAAAATAAGAATGTGAATGAAAAATATATAAAAAATACGAGAAATACGATCATCTAAATGCAAAATTTAAATATACTGCAATTTCTATATAGGAGTGACAATGTAAATTGATAGTAATTGATAGTAATTTTTTTTAAAACATTGAAGTACTCAATGTTGAAGATATGGTTAAAAGAACTATTACTAAAATTATTCTATTTCTGACAAAATGTTTCCCGCCATCATTGATACATATTTTAATAAAGCAACAGTTTAAGTAATTGACAAAGTTATGAAAGACAGTCAAAGGGGAATCTGAAATATTTACCTCCAAAGCGAACTCCCTCTGGATTGATACAGAGCCCACAGCTCCGCTTACAGTTCTCGTGCATATAGGCTCTGTTCTTGTCGCACTCCCCGTTGGTGACCCACGCTCGACAGGATGGTGAGATATCCTTGCAAACTGCACACACGCATTTAGTGTGGGTAGGAGGCAATAACAATTGCAACATGGTTTGATAAACAATTTGATGAAATTATTTTTAATCTTTTTTAAAATCAAGAAACAAATCAATCTTCGTTAGAACGTCAGGTATGTTTTAAAAATCAATTTAATATTCTTAAGTAACAAAAATACATAAAATCCCCTGGAATAGGCTTGTTATTGCACATTATTCTATATACAATAGCATTAGATTTATGTTCATCAAAGAGTGTATACCTATTAGTGCAAGTTAATATGTTGATTCATTTAAGAGTCTAGTCTCGATGGAACTGACGCTTTTGAAAAGCCATATTTGGCGCCACGGGGCGGTGGTTCCATGTGAGTCCGATACGGATAGTGTTGATTGCGTTTGTGTTAAGGTGCGAGTGTGTTGTGCCATATTGATATTTGCTACTCTTACCACTGTCTGTGTCATGAGAGTAAGGGCAAGTATCACAACTAAACGGGCAAAACGTTCTCATCCAGTGTCTATTACGCTTACATTCACCCTGCATCGCCCAGGCTGGGCATTGCTGCTGGTCAGAGTCGAAACATTCTGTAAAAAAAAATACACCATTGATCTCACAACACACATTTGCTATGAAATACAGAATCACATAACAAATTATAACATAATTTGGAGTTTAAATCAGTTTATTTCTGATTCTGCAAACGTTCAGCCTTCGAAATTAATCATAACCGATCCAGGGCTTAGGTTACTTCTAAGAGGGGATGTAAAGATTAATTTGCCAAATCATATCCAAATTTTACTTTTTTTGCGATGTTTCCGTTTATCATACAAAGTAGAACCGAATTCCCTCAAGCTAGCATATACGTACTAATTTAGAACCAAAACGCAGCCGTTGATTAACGTCTCCTTTAAAAACCCCACCAGGGAGTTTCCCTCACCGGGTTGCACTTCATGTTATGTAAAGGCCTCTCGTGGTGCGTCATCGTAGGTTAGGATGTTTTGCTGTTAAATGATGCTAAGACTAAGTTATATTCGAGTTCAAACGTATTTCAAAATTTTCGAGCTCTGGGATTCACTTCGGTGATTACTGGTGCATTGCACCACCAGCATCTAAACCACCATCTAGCTGTAAATTGTAATGCGATATGAAATGTTCACCTATCGAATAATATCTATAAACTTGGGCAGAAAGATAATTAACTATAGGAAAGCTGTACTGTGAAGGTTCTGATGCACGGCTTGTAATTTTAGGATATTGGGTTCATTCATAAAGCTATTTCTGATTTCATTCAAGTATAATTTCATCAAGGTACCGTAATTGGCGAATTAAGAGCTGGTTAAGAAAGATTATACAGTTTTTAGTAATTTGTAGGTGTTTTTTTACCTTTAACCTTAAATTATGGAATACGGTATACCTTTGCCTAAACACATTACATAGACTCTTGCCCAAGTATATGATGATACAACTGGAAGTCTTACCTCCGCATTTGTACAAGTTATTGAGCCGGTAGATGTCCGTATCACTAAAATCAGTCACCCATCCGATGTCTTCATTATGGGGATAACGGGGCCCGATTGTGACCTTGCCGTTTTTAGAAAAGGCGTGCAATGGATAGTGCATGATCGATGAGTAATCATATGGGGTGCCTACCAAATTAACCGCATCGGCGCTGTACTTATGGAAGTTGCTTCTTTGGGCTATTAAAAAAGAAAAAAAAAATCCGATTTATACCTACTAAATATAGCCTCGAAATGTTTTACGTTGGAAAAGTTCTTTTACTTTAACATAGCGTGACATTCATCATCATAACTCTCATTTCCGAATAATCATGTTGTATAGGCCTACTTATGTTTTTTAGTATCGATACAGTAGTAGGTCGACGTTCACTAACAGTGGAACGGTTGGTAGCTTTTCATTTCTTAATCACTGCAGCTTCCTTTTTATTGTCTTTTTTTAGATTTTAGAGCCTTAAAGTAACCAAGGAGATACCTCCTTAAAGTAACATTGGAAGCTAATTATTCTTGTGTTGCTAAAAATCTATTGATCTTAAATTTGTTCATGAGAAGTGAACATCTCAGGCCTATACCCGTGGGGGAGGTGCGATGGTGCGTACGCACCTCCAAATCAGAAGAGGTCTGGACTTACATTTCTGAGACAAAAATGTACAGAACATAAAAAATGTTATTTTCGGTATAAAGATCGATGGGGATCTTTTAAACCTTGCTGGGATAAATTATATCACAGTTGGTACATTTTTCACACTCGCAGGAAATAATGGACACGGCCCTGTTCCTCCTCACAACTTGGCCCAAATAATCTGGGTATGTGGGTAGTATCAATGCCGTAAAAATCCTGGATGACCTTACTAACACTGCGTTAGGAATTGGACATTCCTGTCAGAATGCATAACCCATAGACCTTGCATTTAGTCATATGTTCAGTTGCTGTAATATTGTAATTCTTATTGTAGTTCTGTAGTTTATCCTTCGTGCTTTATTAGCTAACAAATAAAAGTAGCATTTAAAAAAAACGGCTTTAGTTGTTATTAGTTTTCGTTTAGTTGTTATTATTAGTGTTATGAATTTCTCAATTACATAGTTTGTTCGTGTCTGTCGCAATCTTTTCTAACAGCGGGAAATATAATAATAATTCATAGCTATAGTTTTAAATCTAAATGAACTCACGAAGTCTAACTTTCTTATCTGAATGTTGATATTTATGTGAAACTGACATTTTAAAGTCGCTGTTGTTATTGTTACTGTTCTCCAGCTCTATCATCTTAATTTTAAAAGATTATCTGACCAGTGGATGTGATATTTGTAAATTCTTTAAGTTCTACAATTATGTAATACATTACAATACAATTATACTTATACGTGAAAACATTAATGTAAAGTAAAGCACTTGAGTATGTACTGTGTACCATACAATATTGTTAATTGTTCATAGTGTACTTGACTCTTGACTGATGAAAAGCAAAACCACAAACTTCAAAAATAATTTTTCATTTTTTTTTCTTTGACATTTTGATTATGTATATCGGACTTTACCTTTTCACCTAATTGTTAAGAGTGCAACTACACTAATTAGCTAATTAGGCTAATTAGCCATTGCGCACAAACCGAAAAATAGTTTTTCGTCGTCACGAAGAGACACAAACTTTCAGTGGGTTATCAGAAGACGCGCGTGTGGCGTTGCTATCGTTGTGATCGGGTAGATGAGACCTGACTGGGGTAGGGCTACAGGAATAAGATTAAATTCCTTAATTTTCCTAGGCATAGTGGTACCCTTGCAGTATAACCTGGAATAGGACTATACACGTGCATGAAGTTTGGAATTATTAGTAAAAACATAATGGTTTTACCAGGATAAACCTAGTTTGTAGGCCTATATTGACTACAATAGTAAAATATAGGCAAAAATAAAGTTTGTGTCTGACAACGGAGCGCGTATAGCTAAATTGAGATTTTCGTTTTCAGGAAGAGACACAAACTTCGCTGTACGTGTAAACAATCTATGCTGGGTAAATTCATTTTCACGGACACAAACTTTTCACGCTAATTAACACGTTAATTAAAGTTAAGAAAAGAAAAATAAATTAAACACTTTAATCGTTTAATGCTTTATCTTTAATAATATGTAAAACACTATTCAAAATTTTGATATCTTGATAGTGAAATTTAAGGTTTGTGAAGTATTCCACTTCAAACGTGTTTTTGAGACAGAATCTAAACATCACATCTTTCATCTTACTTGAAATTCCTTCAAATGACAATCAGACATTGAAAAGCTCACAAGGGTGGTATTTTAGCTTCTGTTAATTGATGAAAAAATTATGTTCTTAATCAATTCAGTTATTGGATTTCATTGGTGTAGGTAAGCTTATTAGCTCAGCACTACAAGTAGCCAATATATATTTTTAGCACCAGCAGATCTAGAAAGCCTAGGTTAATTAACAAACACTGCAATTTAGTCTTCACTGTTCCCTGGTCTTTCACTGTGTAATTCATATTTTTATTAGCATTCCCAGGCCTAATGTATTTATATATTATATTTATAATTTGCTCTGAAGTCAGTTACATAGGCCTAAGTGTAGCAATTTCGAGAATTCCATTATGACAAAATATAGAAATCTTGAAATGTTAGGTATAGGCCGATAGATATAGCTATAGGTGTAGACTAGAGGTACTGAAAACTATCCTATTTGCTTTTATCATACTAAGATTGTATCAAGTTTCAAGTGTTTAATGCCATTTTCACACTGTTTCAGTTATCGCAAAGGAAGTTGCATAGAATGAGCAATGTATGTAGTTCCACGTTTCATGTTAATGTACTTTGCAGTATGACAAGAAAGTTCATGTTTAAAATAAAAATCTGGTGCAATTTAATCAGCAACAGAGGTACTGGAAACTATCCTACTTGCTTTAACATACTAAGATTGTATCTTATCAAGTGTTCAATGCCAATTTCATACTGTTTCAGTTATCGCAAAGGAAGTTGCATAGCGAGCAATGTATGTAGTTCCACGTTTTATGGTAATGTACTTTGCAGTATGACAAGAAAGTAATCACCACATGCTTTTTTAAGTGCGTTTAAATGAGACAGAATGTACATAGGGCAACATCGTACAGGATTGGACTTAACTTAAAGAATTTAACCAGAGAGTTAGATTATAGACACAGGTTTTATTTTAATATCTATGTAAGAAGGCGATGCTTAGGAAATGAAGTACCGTAAGGCCTGTAATGTTTAGGATATGTACAGTATGTAACCTGCCCAGTATATATGATGTTATTTCGCTGTAAACCAGATATCAGTAGATTATTTCCAGAAGATTAAACACGTTTAGAAACGTCTGTCCGACCATTTAACGTTTAATATCGTTCCTTCAATCCATAATCCCTGTATTTCAAATCAATGTTATTTTCGTATAACTCATCAATGTTCATCAAATTTGTTTAGTGTAATTAGAATTGTTCTATTATATAACATTATTTTAAATTGTACATATATTATACGGTATATATTATTTAATCATTTTGTATAAGCTAAATTGTATCATAATTTTGCTCTATGTATTAGAAACTGGGATTTAATTGTATCCTATTCAAGTATTCAAGTATATTTTATTCATCAAACTCGCAGTAAAAAACTGAATTACATTGATGTTAACATAATAAATACAATAAGATTCCAACGAACAATCAAACAGCCAGAAAACATAAACAATGCACATAAAATTAAAAAATACAGAATCACATTGAAAAAAAAAATGACATCACAATCAGTGCCAAAAATAGTATCTGTATCATACTAAATATAACATTGAAACTAAAGCTAAAAATATATAGGCGTAGCACCGCCACAATTTTCAATGCGAGTTATATTGGCTCTCCCGCAAGCTGACGTCATACAGGCGACGGTCAACGGGCGCATATTGATCGGGTATGCACTAAATCCAGCCAATAAAAATTGGCTGGATTTTTATCCATTTAAAATCAAAATTCGATGGCGAGCACATAAAGTTTACTTTTAAAATAATAGACATAGAGGTGGGCTCAACAATAAGTACGGTATAAGCTCGTGACACAGCTAGTTTAAATTGTGTGTGATAAAAGAGTTGTATGGTACTGTCAAAGTATACTGTACTACATGTCAATACACCGACAAAGGACGGCACTTAACAATATAACCCCCTATGTTGGGTCATTACTAACAAGGTGGAATTCCTTTCAATTTTCTGGATGAAATAATATTGAAAGTATTGTTGAACTTTAGGAATTAACTTATGCCTCGTGGGAGTATTGAAAGTGAGAACTTGTCAAATTAGATTAGGTCTAAAGTCAACGAGTTGGTATAGCATTTACATCATCAACACTGCTAAATGTACTGACTCAACAAAACAATCAAATAGATAAAAAAAAAATGGTATTCAAATTTGGATTATATCATTAATAATAAGAATTCTCTTTAATGTTGGTAAACGCCTTGATGCAGCTATTGAAACGTTGAAAAATAAAGTTGTCGAGTTATGCATTCTTAAGTATTTTTTTGTCAAATAGATTTTATGAATAACACAAAATTTAACTTTAAATTTTGATAAATTAGTGAATTCGGTCACTATTGTCTTCGTCGTAGTCGTTACCTTATATCATCATCATTATCATGTACATCATCATCCTTTCACCATCAGCATCGAAGATGGAGAAAGGAGAAGCGAAAGAATAACTTACATTCAACAACGTTTTCCCAGTAGATATTAACATAACCATCCCTGTCCGGTCTGGAGTGTTCATGTCGGAACCCCAAAGAATGCATTAATTCGTGGATGATTGTTCCTCCTTTCATATGACAGGCTAGGCCGAGTGATATGTATTGAACGCCACCTTGACGGCCGATCTGAGACCAGCACCTAAAGACAAGTTAAAAGTTTAAAAAAAAGTCCACAATTTTTTAACAAGTAATATAAGCTAAATGAGTATTTTAAAGGCGTTTTTCATGACTACCTAGCAGTTGCACAGGCGCTTAGTAGCTGCATGTTTACATCGTTTTAAACGACAGAGGCTGAAATGCTCCAAATAAGTGGGCTTTCAAATAAAACACCTACTTTCCCGAAGGCAATGGGTTTCCAGAGAAAAAAAACGAATGCTGTACAATTAATTTTGTGAGACACTGAAATGGATGGCTGAAAAAATATTTTGGAAAAGGCAATAGATACAGATTTCAATTTTACATCGTACTGGAAAAAGGTTGAGTAACACCAAATGAGGCAGATGTGCCCATTGATGATCTTCGGGTTTATGTATTCGAGAAGACTTAATTCCACCATAGGTCCTTGGGCTGTAGTTATTGACGCCCAACCACTCGGCCACTCGATAGTATGCTACTAGAAACTCTGATTTGAAGTTTAATAAAATTGCACGTTTAATAAGATATAACTTTGTCAGCAAAAGATTATGTCTCAAATATAATCAACATAGGCCTATATATTGATGACGCGCTCACAAAAATTAATTTTGTATCCTTGAAAGACTCCTTCAGGAACTTATCTATAATATGTAAATCCAGTGACGGATCCAGAAAGTGCTCAGAGACTCCACCCTCTCCCCACCCCACTTAGGGTTATATTGAGTAACAGTCGAACTGTCAATCTTTAAATTACTCAAATAAAACGACTTCCACACACTTATGGCTCCATTTGTTAAATTTGGGATCTTTACCTAATCGCTGTTCTCTATTTTTCATCCTTAAAAAATCGCAGTGTTTAGTACATTAACTGTGCACAAATTGAATAATGTCCTAAGAAAATATTTGCTATAGCAATTTCACTACAATAAGTGGCAGGCATAGCGATTTTGAGTGCATCGCCAGAGATGTCTGGAGTTCCCCACGAGAACTCTTCGATATAAGCGGTTTAATTGGAGAAATAGTATTTCGCTCTGTATTAAGCAAGCCACACTTTAACCCAGGATGCGTCGTGTCAAATTCAAGACATATTGTTGATAGATTTTGACTCTTTCATTTCGTAACGTGTTTTAAATAACTAGGTTATGTTCAATGGTTTATATCTATGACTGTAGAGGATTTGGATAGATATCAATCTATATGTCTCATGTCCTAGTGTCTTATTAAACATGATTTTATCAACTCGGTCCATAAGTGAGAGTGCATAATTATTGTAGACTAGAATTATAAAATAATATTAAATATAGGCTGAATATTCCTACTGTGCCAGGAAAAATAAAATTTTGTACGAAATCTGACAGTATGGTTTAATGCTGTGAATATTCAGTACTTCTGAAACACTTAAATAGAATACACATTTTATGGTGAACTTCTGTCACACACTCTTTTGACATAATTTTTGTGTGCATTCCATATGTAGGCCTAAGTAGATAAACGTCAATCGTATCGTCAATCAAGTTACTAGGCCTGTATGATCTGATGTTACAATATAATTGGGTTAACCTAAGATACAAACAAATATAGGCCTATAGATACTATGGTATTGACAAATTAAGTTATAAAACTCAATTTAGTGTTAGTTTAACCACACTCTACCGGCAATATTGTAGTAAGAAGAATTCGTAATTTACTGTAACCATTAACTTTTTGGAAAAACACTTTTATAGGAACCAGTAAAATTTTGCCGAGGCTCAGTGTTCTTTTTTTTTTTTTGCCGATTTTTTTTTTTTTTTTTTGCCGATTTCAGGCTCAAAATGTTCTTATTTTGTTCTTATTTTACACACTTTTCAAAGATAGAAAAATATTATTGTACAGCAGTATGTTACTGTACTGTATTACTGTGTAGGGGATATTGAGCGAGCCAAATGGCCGATCGGTTAAGGCAGGGGCACCGTGCTCAGCCAACAATATCGGCACAGTTGCGCGGCCGGCTCGCTCCTATAATTCTGGTGGTGGAACAAGTCTTCTCAAGGACTATAAACCGTAGGCCCAGTGTACACAAATGCTCATGTGCACTTTAAAGAACCCAGTACATCTTTCGAGATGAGTAGGGGTTACCCCGGTGTACTGGTTCACACGGCCCCTGTCGTGGACAGATGAAAGTGCGCCAGTTTAGTGGCTGCGGTAGACATAAAGTGACCCTCAGGGGAGGAGAAAGTTATTGAAAAGTGCAACATCTAGTCCCGAATTATTATTATTATTATTATTATTATTATTATTATTGTGTTATTGTTATTATTATTATTATTATTATTATTATTATTATTATTATTATTATTATTATTATTATTATTATTACATAGTCACACCTACTGCACCTAAGGTACAGATACGTTGTTGGTTTTTCTATTTTACAAAAAATAAAAAACTCATTTGACATTTTACCTTAGCCTCAATTTGTTCTTATGTTGTGTTTATTTTTTAAGCAATTTCAGCCTCGGTGTTCTTATAAAAAACAAAGTGTACCAATTTGACAAACATCGTAATTAAGATGTATAATTTTACTTGTTTGAAATAATTTCCAGTAGATCTCAACGAGATTAGGTATAAAATCAGTAAACCTATTAAAGTCTTTAATATTAAAAGGAACAATTTATAGGTGACCTTCTAGAAACTTTCAAGAAGACGAAGTGAAAGAAAATAGGATATATGTAAAGTGTAAAAAGCTAAGCCACTGGGGATTTACCAATAATATTGATCATTTCCGAAAATTTATTTTAGATGCAAGACATTTTGGAAGAATATGAATAGTAAAAGCATAAGTACAGGCCTGAAAGTGAACATTTCGACAACAAAATTTAGTACCCTATTCAGACTAGACTTTGCATTGCGATAGGTTGCGATGTAATCGGTGGTAAACAGTTGTAATCCAAATTGTTCGCAACCATTCGCAAACTTCGACAGCATTCAGACACCTTTACTTTGATACTTTATATCACTTGCAACGATATAGGTAGTCCTGTTTTGTTTTACCTCAGCCAATCAGTGCCTGTGGAATCCGTTGCGATCGGGTTCCGTGGTAATCAGGAGTAATAAAGATTGTAGCACCCAATCGCAATGGGTAACAATTGCGAAATCGATTACTTATCGACTATTATTGGTGTGCTTTCAGACACGATTACTTTGCGATTGGGTGCGATTGGGTGTCGTAATTGCTAAAACCGATCGCAATGCGATGCTAGTCGGAATGGGGTATAAGTTAGTATTTCCAAAACGTTAATGGTTAATTTACGGATTCCTTCACTACAATATTACAGGTAAATAAATCTAATTGAATTATTTAGCTCTATCAAGGAAAAGTAGCAAAATACGGTACTCGTAGATAGGCCTATATACAAAAAATATATATATGGCCAGATATACTGCATTGAATCAAAACAGAAAAAACCCCACTCTTTGTCGACATTATACTGCCAGTAAAAACTTACCGTATATCGCAGTAAAACTTGGACATTGATTAATAAATAGAAAGGAAAATCCAAACGACTTGAAGAACCATTGGCTGTACGGTGGCAGGTTACTTAGATTTAGGATAGACAGCAAAAACAAATGAGTAAATCAAGGTTCAAACAAAAGTGAATGGAGTGTTAATAATAATAGCAAAAAAAAAAACCCTAAATAAATATGGGCTGGGCACACTTGAGAGATATACTGGATGACAGATGTTCAGTTGGCAAAAAAGAAACGATACATGCATAATGCTAAAGATTTCACTTTCCCTATAGAAAAGACAGATCTTCTTGTGTATGACATGTAGCATCAAACTTAAAATAACTACTTAGTTTAAACAAAATTGAATTAAATTAATTCATACATTCATTTTTACTAAATAAATATCTAAGAGAGGCTTTAGCCCAGGCCTACTAAGAGGCTGATGATTATTATGGTGATGAAGATGACGACGACGATGATGATGATTGATGAAATATGATAATATACACATATCCATAGCTACTCACCCTATTTTTCTTGATATAAGAATGTAATCTTTTTCATTGGTTCTAGGCCTAAATTGAATACATGTTTTCTCATGGTACCTATCCATTGCAGCCAATATAAGTTTCCTTTCATCTAAAGCTGAAAGGGAACGCATAAAAGAACAAATTAAAGCAACAACAATGAACATACAGTAAAGTGTTACGTCACGATTTCACGTGATACTACTCCATTGCTATCGGGACACAAAAAGCGTTCAACCGACGCCATTTTCGCCACTGACAAACCATTGATCCCAATTTCTAACGTAATTATTAGGAAGTTGTGTCTTAATTTTTCCTTGTAAATTTTAATTGATGATTAAATGTGTGTTCGCTAACTAATATAATGCGAGCTTTTTGTGTTTTTAGAACATTTTGATTCCTATTCCAGAAAGCCTATTTTAAACCATTAAGCTAATGAAGTCATTCACGCGTAATGAACGGTAACCAACGTTCAGTTGGCGCCACCTGGTGTTGTGACGACACGACTGTGGTACTTGTTATGACGTTTTATTTTAACATTATAAAGTAGGCAATTCATGTATTTTATTCTATTGTTTGATGCAATTTCTTGGAACCTGCATCGCGAGTAGGAGGAACGCGTGGCAGATTGTACGATCCACTCGCTTCGCGTTCTCCTCGGATACGATGTGATTAGCAGAGGGTCGTGACGTTAAGCCTCACGTACAGAGGAGAGATTCTTTGGTCGGCGCGGTGCGTGCTCCGCTTTAATGATATCTAAACATCGAAGTGCAGTGGACCTTATATATCCAGTTGTCAAGTCAATATCTGCTTGAAATGAGGCAAACCCCATAACTTCCCATTGACCACGTTGTGTTCTTGTCAATGAAGGGCTTAGATAATATATCCCACGTTATTCTAAATTTCAATGCGTTTCATCCTTAAATCTAGATATAATCTAAAATGGTAAGTTAAAGAAAGTTTAAATCGTAAATTATGCGTTTTGTCGACTTCTCCCCCACCCACACTGGCGTCACTCCCAGGTCACTCGATCAGACTGGCCTACTCCGCCTGCACAACATAGATACCCCAGATTATGTTCCGTTAACTACACGGCTTGGGTCACTCAACTAGTTTGTTTGAGTCGATTTTAGGTTATATGGAAACTATTTTGGCAGACGGATATGACTATTTGCCTTGGTATTTCCGTCTGACTTACAGTAAGTATATTCTACGCTTCTAATTTTGATTCATGTGAATTACATAACACAGGTAAAGCTAAATGTAATTATTCCGTGTATGGTTATCTCCTTTGAACATGCACCTAACACTGTGTAACTATTAGTTATGGCTATAATTAACTGTAGCATAAACTGGAGCGTCATATTGAATGAATAAACAGATATGAAACCAATTTGTAACATGAAACTTTTCTCACTTTCCTCAAGTTGAATAGTGCATCCTTCGTAAATCACTTATTTTATCAAAGCAATGCAAAATATCACGGTCACTGTCACTGCTATTGCTACTGTCATTGTAATGCAACTTTTTGCTATTGCTGTTAATGTTGTACAATAATTGTAAAATGTAGCAGCAGCAATAGTAGTAATGCGGTGGCATCAACAGCAGCAGCGACAGTAGTAGCAGTAGCAATAGAAACAGTCGCAACAGCAGCAGTAGCAGCAGCAACAACAACAGCAATAACAGCACCAGAAGTAGTAGTAGTAGCAGCAGTACCATAGTAGTATCAGCACTGTAGTAGTGGCTGCAGTGGGAGCAGCATCTGTACCGTAGCAACTTTCGACAGGTCTGGTTAAAAATTAATAGGCCTAGGCTTTCTTATAACAAGTCTAATATTAAGATGGACTACTTTTCGTAAGACTTGCTTGTTAACGGGATTTCGGGAGACTGTGCCGATTTTCCCTTCATTAGTATTTTAAATGTAGACATAATTGAACAAAGACTAAAATGATGGTATAAAATAAAAGTGGAAATCGTCGTTAAACGCTCAAAATAGGAATTATATCCGCTGTTGTATTGGCAATGACAAGATGGATGTAAACGACACTTATTCTGTTTATATTTACAAATGACGAGCTGAGATATTTCGGAAGTGCTGGTACTTGCCAAGGATCGAAACTTCGGTAATTGCACTCACGGGCTATTCCTCCTGCTCACTGTCAGTTTCCACACTTGTGACACTCAAGACTGATTCCCTCTGCTCCTGTCATTTTGCACACTGAAATTTCTGATAAACCATGCTTAGAATTTTGAAGTGTCTCCTAAGGGAAGAACACGCTTTAATTATATAGAAGAGTTCAACTGCAATGCGAAGATACTCGTAATTAAGGAAGATCTTGCAACTCTACCCATCCGGTTAGGAGTTAGCAATGGAGGCTTGTTACAACCGCTAATGTATAGAGAAAACAACAGGTAATGTATGTAGTAACAGCTGTAAATGTAGCACACTCCACAGCTAATGTAGCAAAACTCCCCGCTAATGTAGAAACACCAACAGCTTATGTAGTAAAAAGAAAACCCCAGCTAATGTAAATGCTAATGTAGAAAAATAATGTAGAACGAAAATTGCTTCACAGCTAATGAAAGTACTATCACCAGCCAATATAGAATATTACAATATTACAATATCATTGGCTGAAAAACATGGGAGGAACTAACATAATGGCGTGTAAACCTGTGAGCCACCTATGCCTATATCATTTGGGTGCTCATCTCGGTAACCACTAATCAATACGGTTTAATAATGGTACCGCATTGTTCATAAGATCGACAATGGCGTAGGTTTGCCGCGTCGATCGGTTGGTCCCCATTCCGTTTAACATCTGTTTCTCCAATTTCAGTTAAGCCGGGCACTCACTGCGCCCGACCATCGTCAGCCCACGCGATTCTATGGAGAACGATTAGATTTCAGACTACCATTGATAACCAGCAGGCGGCATGGTGTGGCGTCGTCCTATCGCTAACAGGGAGCAAAGTTAGATTCATCGTACGACGCATTGAGTGCCCTGCAATATACTTATTGGTTTTGCAGTCAGTTTATTAACAATATTGGTCGGTCGGTCATTCTCTCTCAGTCGGTTGGTCTGTCGGTCTGTCTTATATATCTTACATTGGCGGATCTGAAGGGGGCCGGGGAGGGGGACCTGACACCCCTCTCCCTTGCAAAAAAAAAATCAAGACCTACTTTCTTCATGACCCGTGGGTTGAATTTTTTTTTGTTATAATGGGAAAATCAGAAGTCGGGAAAGCTCATTTTCCGCCATCTAGAAATCAAAATTTTCCCGGCGGAGGACCCCGACCCCCTTTCTTTTTGGGGTCATCGATTCATGGAAAAAAAGAATACGTATGCAAATACTCATTTGTTCTGTATATATATCTCGCCAACTAGAAATCTAAATTTTCGCGAGGAGAACTCGGACACCCTTTCTCTTTGGGGTTCATCGATTCATTGAATCGTTTTCAAGAGGGGAAGACCTTGAATTTTTATGAACTTAAAAGTCATTATAAGACAACTCAGAAGATGTTTTTTTGGAAACATTCTGCCCCCCCCCCCTTCGTAAATTTCAACCCAGATTCGCCCCGATTTTATTATGTATAAAGTAAATAGGTAATAGCCCTTCCTCGTCAGAGCAAAATATAAAATATAGGCCTATAACCATATATAATACATATATGATAAAATGATGGTGGTATAGTGGCTATGTTGTTCAACTTGACAGCAAGAGGTCACAGGTTCGATTCCCGTCGAAGGTAATTTATCTCATAATTTATTTATAGAACAATATTCATTGAGTACTATACTGTGCGATGACAAACAGCAAACAGGCATCAAACAGAAGTCGAAACAATGCCACGTGATTTTTCGACGAAAAGTAGTGCTTTGATAATAATTTAAAGACGTAATAGTTTATAGTTGGTAACCTCGATTATGTTCCCCTTTGATATAAGATTTTATACTATATTCTACATTAGCTGGCGATAGTAGTTAGCTGTGAGGCAATTTTCGTTACTACATTAGCTGTTGAGCGTTCTACATTAGCTGGGGTTGATTTTCTTTTTACTTCATAACCTGTTGGTGTTTCTACATTAGCGGGAAGTTCTATTACATAAGATGAGGAGTGTGCTACATTAACGGTTGTTACTACATTAGCTGTTGTCTCCTACAATAGCGGTTGCAACAAGGCTCACCAGTGCAGTTTCCTGCCATTATGACACCAGGCGGTTCCTCAAGTGTCTGGCATTATTAAGGCTAAAAAAATACCATAAAATGTGATTGCCGCTAATTATAATTCAACATTTAAAATAAAATTTAATTCTCAAATTTAAGCTTTCGCAATTCGAAATAAGTACCAGTAATTGATAGTATAAATCTCATCAAATAAATAATCTAATTGTGTATATAATATTCGAAGATTATTCAAAAGGTGTAAAGTAAATTTAGATTAAAGTAATTAGCTAAGTTAATTATTTGATGGCCTCGTTATGGTGGTGGAAACATTTCAAAGTCCTAAAAATTAGATTTAGTAACATTAAGAACATACCTCAACAAAAAATTCAGTTGATTCGAAAAGTTAATAATTATATTTTTCTGCCGACCTCATGTGGTGTCTGACAACATGGGAGCCATGCGTGTCAGACGGAAGAGGACAATTTCCTCCTGGCACGCGATGCCGCCACCACGGACTTCTCTCTCCAAATATAATATAAATCTGTATATTATAGATTCGGCAACAACATTCGAATGCTGCCCGTTAGTATTCATAATGGTTGACAATTTACTTCAGCTCAACCAAACTTGGACCAGAATTTTAACAAACTAGCCCAGTAACCAAATGAACCCAAACAAACTCGGGCATGCAAGGAGAATATGGAACGCAACGAGTCTTTCTGGTTAAAGATAAAATATAACATACACCTCAAAATGGCCAGTTCCAGTCTAAATTTAAAGTCAAGTGGTGTTAATATTTGTCGGAGATTGCCCCAGAGTACAAAATTATTTTAACGTGACAATTGTATATAAGGCTCTTCAGTCAAACGGGGAGGAAGTGGCCTAGCTTGGAGAGGTTCTCTATATCGATACAGAAGATTATAGTATTAGCAAGAACCGATGCTAACGTT